AAATCCAAGTCTTTTCAACAAGAAATTCAAATGAAATGCCCTAAACCGTTGGGAGACCTAAAACCCATGGTCAACAAGACCACCCAAATTCAAAACCTCGAATCTCCAGTCTATATACTCATAATCATGAACAAAAATAATGAAACTAACTCTAACTCTAACTCCTCGTTGAGCTTCTAGGAACCCCTCCAATTGCTAGTGCGGCTACTCGCCTCGCTCTGCCTCTTCTCAGAATCTACCACCGCATACCCTTCCTTAACCTGGTGAGTGAGAAGGTGTCAGTCTCGTCATTACCTCCTAAGGTCTTTGCCCTAGGCAAATCCTCACTAACACATTATTAGAAATTTCTTTCCTAGCACGAAAGTCGTTCTCGCTTTCTGCCATTGAATAATCATTCCTTACTAGCTTATAGAATTTTTCTACGTCTATCTTGTTCTCATAGAAGTTCTCTACTTCTATCTTAGCTTATACTCTTAAAACTAGGGTCCACCGCGTTAAGTATCGTCGTTCGTTGTCCCTACCTAGTATGCCAACCGCGTTATGTATCACCGTCCGGTTGCATACTCAACTCGGCAATGGCACTGCGTTATGTTTCATCGTCCAGTCCATGCCCGATCAACTACTGTGTTACGTATCGTCGTCTAGTAGTGAACCCAACATAATCGATCAACTGTTGCATTACGTCTCGCCGTCCAGCAGTGATCCGACCATCTACCGCGTCCAGTAGTGGCCAAACCACCCGGGGGTTCATTACTTAACATCATCCATACACATTCACATACATAGCACAATGCGTGCCTCCACCTTAAGTAGGCGATGAGATGCCTCACACACATAATCATGCATTACTAAAAAATTAACTAAATAATAACTTGAAACGAAAAGCATAAACTAAAACGACCTACGACTGAGATTTTACCCCCTTTACACTCACCTTATTGAAGTGAGTCTAATTGACTTGAATTAAGCACCTTTCCAGTCCATCTTGAAGCAGAGATATACCTTAGTTTGATGCAATGACACCCCAACTTCGTGTTGGTTGACCTCCAACTTGGAGAGTACCAAATCTCACGGACACTAATCTCGTTGGTCCACCAAAATCACCCCTTGCGGTCGTCCATCATGGTTGTAGCGACTGTCTTCGGATCATCCACCGCATTGGACAGCAGGCAGTGGCGGAGCCAGAAATTTGAACGAGGAGGGGCTAAAAAATATGCAGTTGAGTGGTTTGAACCATGATCAATGGTGAGGGGGGTGGGGGCTAGTGGCTTACCAATTAGTCTATTTTTAGAATTTGCTACATATTTTACATGTAAATTTACCTATTTTCGAAAGTTGAGGGGGGCTATAGCCCACCCTGAGCTCAACGTGGCTCCCCCACTGACAGCAGGTACATTATATTCCCCTCTGCATTATTTCTCGATCACTGCCATCGTTGCCATCGTTAACATCGTTGCCGCTTTGGCGCTACTCACTGGAACCAACACGACCACCACTATGTCCGTCAGCAACGAGCAGAGACCGTTGGCGAGCTGCTCAATCGTCTATGTCAAGTGGTACGAAGGGTTGGTACAACGAGCGCCCAAAACCATTCCGCCGGGTCATGAAATTACGTTCCATCTAAAGTCGGCCGCCGACGGGTCAAGCTGATTCTGGGTGGGGAGGTTGTCGAAGTTTGACAAAATGGGGACGCCCAGGTATTACATCTATGATTCACGCCGCAGAGGTGTGCAGCGACGGTAGTGGGCGGGCTAAGATCAGAGGTGGCCGGGGGGACAAAACCAAGCATCAGAAGTGCCCGATAGAGCGAGCCCTGATTAGGGCGAAAAATTATTAGGGATTAGGGATAAGTTAGGGGCAAAATCGTTTATTTGGATAATTTTAGGGCGAAAAAGTTAAAAAGTTAAGCCGTTAAATTGGAATCAAGTGGTTTATACGGTGGGGGTAGATTTATGCGTGGGGAGAAGAAGTGAGGGTCGCTCGGCCCCTTTTATATAAGTGTATATTTTTTTTACAAATAGTAATAATATAATAATATTATTATTATTATTCCTAATCCATAGTTGCAACCCTTCGTACATAACCGTCAATTCAACTATTTATGTCTTATGATCGAACCTGAACTAAAATGTAGGGGTGTTACATTTCCTCCACCTGTATCAAAATTTCGTCCTTGAAATTTGCTCGGGACTCACCCTTCTATCAACACCCTTCTTATACTTCCTGCCCACAATCATTTATTCTTCCTTAGCTTGTAGCACTCGTGTAACCTTGAGTGACACACTGTCCTTTTTATTTCACAACTTGAACCAAACGTGATGAAACAAAATGCCGATTTGACTTGACATGTTGATCCAATTCAGCTGGTAGTTGATGTTTAACCTAATTCCAAAATCGAGATATCACATTTCCCCCCTCCTTAAGAAAAATTTCGACCTCAAAATTTGTTCATTGTGATGACTCCAAGTCTCACTTGGGGTAATCCTTCTACTACAAGGATCTATACTTCCTTTATCTTGTACGACCTTGAGCTATGAATCCTTCCCTCCAATTCGTGTGGTTCTTTGCAGACTGATAACTCACTGTTTTTTCATAAATCAGTTACTCAACAAGTTACTTGCTCAATGCTGCTATGGCACTTATGGCTCTCTCCCTTCATAGACGCCGTTGATGCTGTAACGGTTTCTTAGCTCATATTGTTCTCAACGGTTTGTCTCGGTCTCTACTGAGAATTTCCCTAAGAGACATCAATGAAATAAATTCTTAGCCAGACCTATTCAGGACATGACCCATCCTGAATTCATTTTATAGCATGCTCAGGCCTTAATTTTTATTTTCATTTTCATTTTGTTGATATGACTTGAATCGGACTATCAGCCGCTACGACTGGTAATCGGGGGTCTCGCTGCCCGGTCAGCGAGTGGGGTCCAGGAGCAACGCCCCTGGCCCACGGTGTATGGGCTCAATGTTATTTGGGTTCGGGTTCTGGGCCTGGTCTGTAACCGTTTCCTTTGCTAGATTGGATTAGGTTTAGACCCACATGGAGAAGTACTATAAATACTTCTCATACTCCTCTGTAATCTCCTTGATATAGGGAAATCGGCTCTCTCTCGCCCGTGGACGTAGCTAACACACATCGTGTTAGTGAACCACGTAAATCGTGTGTCGTGTTTTCGATTCTCGCTTTCGTATTCTTGCTTTGTCGATTCCGGCGATTTCCCGATCCGTAGCAGCGCGTTTATAACACATTTTTTTATGGCGTAGGGGCAAAAAACCGGAAAACCCGGAGGTCCGGTTCGAGCGGCTCGGACGATTAACTATTATGGCCGCTCGTGAACCGTCTGGTTGCTCCTGGGCGGCTGTATCCCTGATCCAAGACGGTTTGGTGACCAGATCCCGATTTTATCGGTCTGACCGGTCGACTCTGTTCATACTTGACAACACTGATACAAACTAGGGGTGGGCATTGGGTGGGTCGGGTGGATTTTGACCATAAAATGCACCCACCCGCGCTTAAACGGATTGATAATTTTTAACCCACCACCCACCCACATTTACTCTCGGGTTGGGTCGGGCGGATGGTGGATGATTTGGGTGGGTTTGTGAGTTCACCCACATCACAATGTATATAATATAAAGGAGTCAACTTGACATGATAATAGGCGGAGAGAGTTATCTGGGGAAACAAGAAGATGAAATAGGGCGAAAATATCGAATTAGTTCTTAAAATGGATAGAAATTCTATTATGAAATAGTTTTTCTACAGATTGAGATGATTATCAGGTGCAAGGAACTAAGAAAAATAATTCCACAAAGGAAAGAGCAGTGATCTAGGCACAAGAATTAGAGGAAAAAATAAAGCGAAGAAGAGGGGATCGCTATTTGGAAGGTTGGCTTTGAGGTTAAAACTCCAGGAACAGTCCTAGTTTATGTCTAACGTCTCCACTCTCCCCTCTCTAGCACAGACGATTTGTATCTTTTTGCTCTTGGGTTGAGCGGGTCACCCGCACACCCACCCACAACCCACCCACCACCCGGCGGATGGCTCCCAGCGCAACCCGTCACCCACCCATAGACCCACCCACTTAACGAAATTCGGGTCAAATGCGGGTGGGTCGGCCCAAATTCGCGGATGATCCGCCTGCATGTCCAGCCCTAATACAAACCCATCAAACTCTACCGATCAACCATCAATTTGAATTCCATACTCAACCCAATTGGGTTGGATAGTAAAATAACCATGAGAATGGGCAAAATTGCCAGCCTACTCATTTTGATATAACATGAAATTTTACAATCCTACCTATAAAATGCATATACAATATCTGGAAACTCATAAATTCACAATATAAATGTTTGTGAAAGCAACTCTTAAGAGTTTTATGCAGTAAACGAATTTTCTCTTTATGACCTATTTAATGTGAGAATTTTAATGGTAAAAAAAAAAAATGTAGGAATGTGAACTTTGAGGTAACCATGCCAGGGGATCCAAAGGCAAGGGACAACTCCAACGAAACTGAAAGACAAGAGAGAGTAGAGAGTAACTAGAAAGTCAAGGGAGAGATGATCTGGCACTCTCAAACGCACTGTGCCCGCATGCAACGACTCTCACGTCCCACTCCCAGATGCCAGATCCCTCAAACCATCCCCCCATCGGACGGCCACCACAGAGCCTAACTAAAACCGTCCAATCGACTCACAGACGTGTCAACATCTCAGTGGCCGAGAGCATCCAGTGTTGGAGAGCATATCAATTCAATCAGACTTGTTCCATTTCAACCTGTCAAGTCCCAACCCAAACAGAAAACCCTAATTCCGTTAGGTTGCGACAGCCTGTGTGGCCTGCCCCAGCCCCCAGTGATTGGATCTGATTGCACCAATAAAAAAACAAAACTCACTCACTGACTCATGAAAAGGGTAGTTCTGGTATTCTAACAAAACCCATATTGTTCGAATATATATAAGGAAGGTATTGCGTTTAGTACTTACTATTAATAATACGGGTGAAGAAGATAGGAGAAGAGAAGAGAATGGATCCAGAGGCATTCACGGCGAGTTTGTTCAAGTGGGACCCAAGAACAGTGGTGGCGGGAGCACCAGCGAACCGGGCGATGGAGGCGACGACAGGGATGGTGGCTCCACCTTCTGCGGCGGCGTACGCAATGAGGGCTGCGGCGGGGCCGGCGAGGGACTTGGTGATGGCCGGGCTGGAGGGGCTGTTTCAGACCTACGGGATAAGGTACTACACGGTGGCGAAGATAGCGGAGCTCGGTTTCACCGTCAGCACCTTGCTCGAGATGAAGGAGGAAGAGCTTGACGAGATGATGACCAACCTCTCCCAGATATTCCGGTGGGAGCTCTTCGTCGGGGAGAGGTTTGGCGTCAAGGCCGCCGTCAGAGCGGAGCGCCGGCGGCTCGAGGAGCTGGAAGAGTCTCGGAGAAGAACACACGGCGGCGACGTCACGGCCACCAATATCGCTCTCGACGCCCTCTCCCAAGAAGGTAAGCTAACTACATTTCTTGCTTAATAAATAAATTAGTCATTAATTCTCATCCATATTAAGGTCTTTGAATATATATATATATATATATATATATATATATATATATATATATATATATATATATATGTTCAGTAATCTTCTGCCTATTGAATTTGGATAAGAAAACTTGTATAGTTCAGCTGTAAATTCATTTCGGGCATATAACATTTCCAAGAAGCTAGCTAGGTATGTTTAGGTGCAATTTAAGAGATTCAAATTCGAATATTATCATTAGATCAAGTCTCTATCTGTGGACATTTGTTCTTTTTCAACGATCGTCTCCGAAAAATTTAATAATAATAATAATAATGCGTATACATATTGGTTGGTTGGTGTACGGAAAACAAAGGGTTGTCGGAGGAGAGGGTGCAGCAGCAGCAGCAGCAAGAGGCGGGGAGCGGCGGAGGGGGGTGGGAAGTGGCGGGAGAGAGAAAGCAGCAGCAGCAGCAGAGGCGGAGGAAGTGGCAGAGGAAAGTGGTGGATATGGAGCAGCTGGTGGTTGATGAGGATAATAACGACGATGACGAAGACGACAACAACAACAATAACATAACAAGTGGGGTTTGCGAGAGACAGCGGGAGCATCCATTCATCGTGACGGAGCCTGGGGAAGTGGCACGTGGCAAGAAGAACGGCCTCGATTACCTCTTCCACCTCTACGAGCAGTGCCGTGATTTCCTCCTTCAGGTCCAGACCCTCGCCAAAGACCGCGGCGAGAAATGCCCCACCAAGGTACATATTTTACATTCATAACATTAACATACGCCCCAGTCCCACCACACCACTATTCACAAAACAAAACTACTACTCTTTCCTTACCTTACCTTCCCTTCGCTTAGCTTAGCACCGTGGCGTGGGCCCCACTCGAGTCTCTGATTGGTCCGCTTAAAGATTCTGAACTTGGCTTTTCCCCAGTCCTACGGCCCAACCAATCACAACGTGACAACTCAAGTACTTTTTTTTTTCTTTCTTCCGCTCTTTGCTTGTTTTTGATTGAGAAGCCAAAAAGAAAGAAAGGAAAAAGGCTGGTCAATTAAAGTATTGTCAGTTTCATTATGTGAAGTCTGTTCCCTGGAGCGGCACGTGTACCTCCGCGACAGCTGTGCTGTGCTCCCGTTCCTTCCTCGCTGCTGTACTTGCTTCTCTACAACATCAATTCCTTACCCACTGGACATTCACCAGCTTAGGGCTGTCAATTTGGTTTGGTTTGGTTAACCAAACCATTAAGTATGAAAAACCAATAACCAAAAACCAAATTCCAAAAACCAAAACCAAAACCATTAAGGCCCTTATTGGTTTTTGGTTGCCAAAAACCAATAAGGGCCTTAATGGTTTTGGTTTTGGTTTGGATAACCAAAAACCAACATGTACTCATACACTCATATTTATTCTTATTTCGCTTCTTTTTATTGAATAAATGTCATAATAATGGTAAATGGCCATTACAAATTATTGGTTGGCATGCGTGTCAAAAGAAACAAAAAAAAAAATAATTGTTGATGAATAATTTTATTCTTATTGGTTTCTTAATGGTTTCTATTGGTTTTTCGGTTTTAACCAAACCAAAACCATTAAGTTGCTTATTGGTTTAAAACCAAAAAACTGAAACCATTAGCTTTCCAATTGGTTTGGTTTTGGTTAAAACCAAAAAACCAAAACCAAATGGACAGCCCTACACCAGCTTCGTACTATCAATAACTGTTCATATTGTTCCATCATCATGCTGTCCCGACCGACACCCTCACCCCAGCCTCATTAATTAATCCCACCACAATAATAAATAAAAAACACTACTTATTGAGCTTTGTCTTGTCTTCACGATCTCATATATAATCTAATGAAACAGTGATGGGTCTCCATCGACTAAGTAACTAATTAATTAATTAATTCTTGCTTTGTTGACGAAGGTGACGAATCAGGTGTTCAGGTACGCGAAGAAGGCAGGGGCGAGCTACATCAACAAGCCCAAGATGAGGCACTACGTCCACTGCTACGCGCTGCACTGCCTGGACGAGGAAGCCTCCAACGGGCTGAGGCGGGCGTTCAAGGAAAGAGGCGAGAATGTGGGCGCCTGGAGGCAGGCCTGCTACAAGCCGCTCGTCACCATAGCCGCCACGCAAGGCTGGGACATTGACGCTATCTTCAATGCTCACCCTCGTCTCTCCATTTGGTACGTCCCCACCAAGCTCCGCCAGTTGTGTCACGCCGAGAGAAACGCCGCCGCCGCCGGATCTACATCTGTTGCTGCCGCCGCTGGGCCTCGGGCTGGCCAGCTTCCTTTCTAGTTCGTTACATTTTTTTTTGTGTCGGGAACTTGTTGTAGTAATGGCTAACTAGCTAGGTGGGATCGAAGTAACTGGGCTTCCCTGTTTTTTTTTTTTTCTTCTTCCCCAAAAGGAATTGGGTTGCCGATATTACTCTATTAGCTAGAGAGCTCAAATCTTTAATTATTCGGTTGCGACATTGGTAAGAGTTTCCGACTTGTTGAGCCCGTCGTTGTGGTGATGGTGATTAATTTAGTTAACTGAATTGTTCTTTGTTTTCAAATTCATACAGGTCCTCTGCCTATGAGTTTCATCTCCATTTCGGTTGCCAAAATCTTTTCTTACTGAATGCACTTTGGGATTCTATGGACCACTCATTAATAATATGGTTCAAACATTTTCTTTTTTATTTTGGCACTACAAAATTAAGAAGCTATAGGGACAACAGTTAGGGACCACTATTATAATTTGTCTTCGCAAATATGATCTTAAGTAATATAAGGGACAAGTGTATGAAGTCGTCCCCATAAAATAAAAAACAACTTTTTATTAATGTTTCGAGATTTTCAATTGTCCCCAAAAAAGAAAGTTTCAGTAGAAACGCATCTATAAGACTGATATGGAAAAAAGATTGTGTGTGATTCACCATTATCACTCAATCTTGATTTGGTTTTTACTGGCGGACTTTTTTAACTCTATAATTGTTTAGCGGAGAGCACAAGTTAGAAGTAGAACTGATACAAACTATTTTCTTGATTTTCATCCAGTTAATTATTGGTATAATTTAAATATTGAATTGACCATAGAACAAATAAATTAACATGTTTTTACTAAATTGTGTATACAAATTACTTAGGTTGACCAGCATTCTCAAAGACATACCTGAAGAGAGAACTAATAGTCCCAACTTGTTACATATATAGATTACCTGTAATCATCCCTGAAAACACAAGTTAAGAGACAACTAATTGTCTCTAAAAGTGACATAGGTAACACTTAGTCGTCCCCGACGTCACAGATTGAGAGACAGTTGATTATCCCTACAATTTGCATAGGGAACCATTGGTTGACATAAGATGGTGTTACGTGGATTTTCGATCCGGATTAGTAATTCCACGCAACGTGCGAATCAAACAAACGAACTCGAGAATGGTTTTAGAACGAAGAGAAATATAGAGGATGTGAAGGCTAAAACTACTAAGCTATTTGGATTCCAATCTTCTCGTATGATTAAACGAAAGACAAAGTACATATTTATAGGCATAGAAGCCTCTACCTTTTCCTATCTAGAACATGAAACCTCTCCTACAAGAAAAAGATAACCAAATCCTAAACATACTAGAAAATAATCAAAATCCTACTAAGATAATTAAACAATAATAATATCTCAAATAATACGAAACACTATCTAATTAATAAACTACTAAAAATAGATGAGCCCTAAAATTCCTAGATTATTAGGAATGGCTCGTATTGTAAGAGATGATCGTCCCTGCAAGTTAGAGACACTAACTCATCTTTCAAGGCATAGGCTAAGGGATAATTAGTCATATTCACAAGTTACATAGAGATAATTCTTCATACCCAAAGCAGTGTTTGTAAAATTGTACCGTATTAGCGGTCCGAACAATAAATTCTCATATCGGAGTCTTATCTGATAGATGATTTTAAGCAGTATGAAATGATCGAACCACGATTCAACATAAAATTTCCAATCGCTGAATTTTTTAGTACAACCTTTTATACAATTTTACAATCCATGCTAAATGACAGAAATTAACGAAACACTAATTATCCCTGAAGATGAAAATTTGTTATCCCCAAGCCACAACATAGATTACATGTCCACATTCATGTCTAAAAGCCACAACATAGAGTACACATAATAGTTTAGAAACAAGTATACACTAAACTAGTCAAATCAAAACAGAAGATTACGTACGTGCATCGGACCAAAGTTAAAACACTTAATAATTAATAATAAGATTCCTCAATTCCCTATTTATTTGTATACGAATTCCTTGGACCAAAAAAGTAAGAAACGTAGATATATAAACACTTCAAGCTATCACAACCGTTTATTAGTATATAAATAATCTCAAACGTCCATATAAGTTTAGATAACTTAAACCCTAGCTAACATCCAGTCTTCAGTCTTCTCCTTTTCTCGGCCGCATGGTCTTCTTTCCCTTCCTTCTGTCTAGCCTCTGCGTTTCTCACTTGGCATCGACACTCATCATCCCTTGTCCACCCGCGCTCCATTCTCCTCTTCAACAATGGCCGCCTGGTAGGATTTAGATTAGTTCATTTACCCCCTTGTTTTCGGTCTTTAATACTCCATTAGGTTTAGATCTATATTTCTTCAACATACCTCTTTTGTTTTCTCTTTCAGAATCGACGACGATGAAGTCATAAGTGAGATTGCGGATATTGCTCGGATGATGTTACGATGGAGTGGTATATGTGGTGGCTAGACATGGTTGTGGCGTTACAGTGACGATTGAGAGTGATAGTAGAATAAGCGGGATCTATTGTGATTTTGTGTAACTTTTTTCCTTCTTCTATTTGTTCTGTTTGTAAATCAATGGTAAAAAAAATTGTCGTGGGGACAATAATTGCATTGTATGATGATGATGATTATTATTATATATCCAATTTGTTATCAGATTAATTAAGATGGTGTGTTGATCCTATAAAGAGAAAAAAAGACATCATATTGTCCCCAAATATCATTTGGCAAAAGCCACCTAATTGCAAAGAGACGACTTTTAGACTTCAATTTGAAACATATTGGAATGACATGTCGTTCCTAAAAAAGAAAAGGGGACGATACATTAACCCTATATAGGTCCAACACAATCATGAAATCGATTATGAGGGATAACAATTTGTCCCTGAAAATAATGTTTAGGGGGACGACTTATTGTCGTCACTGTTATAGCTATAGGGACGACATGTTGTCTTTCATAAAAAAAAATGAGACGACGACTTAAAGTATCGGGGACGACTGTCGTCCCTACTAATAGGGACGACCTAGATTTTTTCATCCCAAAAGAATAGAGTACAAGAGTATAAGGTACCACACATTGGGGACGACTCAGTCGTCACCAAAAACTATAGGGACGATTTTCCCTATTTCCGGGGACGACTTTTGTCGTCCCCAAATCTACTCTTTTTTGTAGTGTGGGTCAGGGGTTCAAACATTTTCAAGTACCATAGGTGTTTCATGTTTATATTTGCATTCAAAATTATTGAATGGAGTTTTGACTGCTTTGGGTAATTCATAAATGATATGTTTCAGAGTTCAGACCTCTTCAAAACAACGATCGATATTTTGATGATTTTCATAGCAAACTAGGTTAAAACTACTCACTACTACTATATATGTTTAGTGAGGGTCGATTTCCAAAGACATTACAATTCTAATCAATATTTTCTTAAAAAATATTTTCTAAAAACTAATTTCATAAGTATTACGAGGGATCGTTTAGATGAGGATTTGATTTTGAGGAACTTTGGCCCAATCCTTCATCTAAAAAATCAAAAAATTGTATAAAAAATTTCGGTCAAATAGCTTGTTTGTCTACAGATCTAGAAGAATTTGACCTAGACTGTTCATTGATAGTAATGCCCCATTATATTCCACCTGCGTCCTTCCTCGATATCTTTTTGGTTGTCCACAACGACACCGATTTTTGTAGCCCATATACCACAAAACCTCGGTCTACTCATCCATGACACATATTTCGGCCCGACGATCTGGAAATTGTGGATGCCTAACCCCTCAATCACCCGCCTCTAATTCTCCGCAATCCACAAACCATAAAACCTCCATCCAAAAACTGATTCAAGACAAGCAAAGTGGGAATCAAACATCCATCCCAGATTCGTCGGCCACAAAACCACATGCTACAATCACAACCTCAAAACCCCTTCAGTGCAAACTCCGTCGTCAATTAACTGTAAACATATGATTTGAAGCAAACTAGGGCCATCCTTCGTTTCTTCGTCCTCTTCTCTAAATCAACCAAGATATAATGGAAGCCTGCATCCTGGCCACGATCTTGTGCGGGGAAGCTTTTGCCTCTGTTGCCTTCATCCTCATCTAGCTCATCAATTTGTGGGTCCTAGTGCTTAGAGTAGGAAGACAAGGAGGGAGACAATGGTAACCTAACTTGAAAATTCTCGGGGATAAAGAGAGAAGAGGAAAGTTTTGATGAATGAGAGGTGGTAGTCATGTGTCGGCGCTTTGTCGCCACCCTCAGTTCTATTATCTGACAATGTACTGAGGATTTCAAACAAATTGAGGAAGTCATGTGGAACGACAAGATCAAGGAGGGAGCAATATGGAGGTGATTGTGTCTCTGTTGGTGTTGATTTTGGGTGAAACCGGAGAGAAGTCACCGGTATCATCCTTATTGAGCTTGTTCTCCTCGACATTGACGAGGATGTTTTCCTTATCATGGTGTAGCGGCAACGTAGTGGGGGAGAAGAAGTCAAAAGAAATGCTAGTTGCAGCAAGGTGGGGATGAGGTCGAAAGTTGGTTTATGAGGAAATGGCGACGGATGAACAAAAGCACTAGGGATCAAAGGAGATGCGAGGAAGATGGAGAAGAGACAAAGCTAGAGACTGTCGAACTATTTGTGTGTTGAGGGTTGTTTTGAGTTTTAATAAAATTACAAGGAACAAACTTAGAAGAAGAAATAAAAGAGAAGACCTAGTGAGGAACTGCAAAATAGTTGAGGGGGTATGCTATTTTGATTAGTTAAATCCGTAATTGTATATGTCCCTTCCCAAATGTATTACTTTGCAAATCTCACATTTGTAGGATTATGGCAAAATAATGCACTTAAATCACCAAGACCGGATACGATGAAAACAACTATTTTGTTGTTATAGTGATAACAATAAAGCACAACCAATAGGAATCAGGGTTATGTTGACTTTTTTAATCATGGACATTCAACAAAGTTCATGACTTTTTTAAGGAGAAATTTGAAAAAGCGATTTTTTCCATTAAAATTATAAAGACAACAATGTTTTGTAAATCATGGGCATTAAACAAAGTTCATGGCTTTCAACTTTCGCTGGTGAAGCTCTTGAGCTAGGCTAAGCCCATGTCTTCTATAAATAGCTAAAAAGTCTTCACTTGAAACTTATAGAGAGTTTTAGAGAATAAATTTTCCAATAATTGGAGGATAAGAGAGTTAAGGTTTCCCTTTTGGAGAAGACATAAAGTTTAGAGAGGAAGAGGAGACCTTCAAATTGGATCTTGAAGTTGTGTTTCCATAT